TCCTGCAGTGTACTGTATGCGTCTGGTATGATATACATAACGGCACGGGTATGAGTCAGAGTTTGCACGTCTGGATTTTAGTAAGTGTATGTATATGTGTGTCTTTGTGTGTGTGCTTTCCAGCTCAAAGTTCAGTAGATTTGTGCGGTGCCCCTTGCTAATCCCTTCCCAGAATGGATGTTGCCAGGCAGAGAAATTACCCAGCGGCGCGCTAATAGGACCTAATGGCAAACTCATTTATAACTGTAGCTTACGTGGACTGATTGCCAGTAATATGAAAGTCATAGCTTGATTGTGTATTGGTTTTGTTTGTCTTTGTAAGTGTTGTCTTACCTCGTTTTGATTTATGAATGTGCGTCACATCCAATGCCACAGGTTTGATCCCCATCCTTGAGAAAGAAAAACTCTTAAGCTGGCAGCAAGCCTCAAAATTAGACACATCATCTGATCACATTGGACAGTTAGTTTGTTGATGCCATTTTAATGCAATGGCTAAACGTCTGTTAAATTAAAACTCAGAATTATAAATAGTGAGAAGAAACTCAGGCGCTCGTGTTGTTTGAAGTTTTGTTACAGTGTCCATCAGTGTAGACTAACTGTTAGGAAGGTAGCAGCAGCTAACCGCATCCCTCCCTGCAGAGCTGTGAAATATTTATGCTCGGATGCGATTGCTGTCCCCCATGGGTATGGTCGATAATTACCAGGGATGTTTCTCTGAGCAACATTTTTAATAAGCAAAGAGCTGAACACAGCAATAGAAGTAGAAGATGTTGGCACCACACAGCCAGCGTCACAAGAAAATGACTTCAAATCCTCAATCCCAAACCGTTGCATCTTTTATCTCTCTTTTTGGTCTCTGCCAACTCCTGAGTGAAATATCTGGCTCTTATCTGCTAAATGCATCACTATGTTCATCAGCTAGTCGCTAACTTTGTCTGTTTGCCATTTGGTGCTGAGGAGTTAGTGTACAGTGGGGTTTTAGAGATATTTTGCAGCCCCCTACTACAGCCAAATACAATATCATGAAAGCAGTCAGACTGAACCAAAGCAAAGCAAAAAACACACACCAACAAATAACAAAATACATAAAATAAATAAATGAATCCATCCAGGATGTCCCAAAACCAGATCGCATAGCTGAGATAAAATAATTCTCTTTTGCATGTACACTGTACTGTTTTTGCAATATGGACTCTTACAAAATGTAAATGTAAATTGTAAAGTAGCACACAATTATTTGTGTTACAGTTATTACTAAAACAGACTGTTGCCTATTCAGTATAGAGTTGTGAAAGAGGAGCAATATGTTCTACTGTAAGCAGAGTCAATCAGTGCAGCTGCCTGTAGCAGTCATAATTTACCTTCACTGGGCTTAAGCCATTAGCATTTCCTGTAAACACACAGTGTAACATGAGATACAGAGTTGTTAGTGGCAGTTGACATATATGGCTATAGTTCTGCTAACTGGCTAAATAGCAATATCAGTATTACTATAACTTACTAGAAAGAACACGATAAACCTGTTGGTATTGGATTTCTGTACTTCTGTAATTGAGCTGAAATGCAATTATTGCCCCCATGCCTGATGTGACTGTGGCTACATTCAACAAAAGAGCACCTCCTGTCTTTCTGCCTCCCTGCCTACATTACAGTGATAGTTTTTTTTTAAATTTGTGAAAATGGACCGTTCCAGTGATTTATTAAATAATTTTTCTTTTAATGGATGTTAAAAACAGTTAATAGCTTGCTCACTCACTCCCCCACTCACTCCCCCACTCACTCATTCCCTTGTGCCTTTTAATATTTTAATTCTCTACCCAACAGTAGTACATTTCTGCCCTTGTTATTTATGGATGCACTTGTCTTGGGATATCTGTGATTTCTCTTACAAACAGTGTGAAATATCTCCATTCTTTTGGCTGTGTAGATATATTCACACATTCCACATACAAAAACACTTATGTACTACAGTACATATTTGTGATTTTGAAGCTTAGTCGGCGTCCACGTGTTGCCTGGAGTTTGAAGATGAGTTTGTTTGTTTGTGTGCGTGTGTGAAGACAGCTGCTCTGTGTCCATCAAAAGCAGCTCCACATTCCCTGCACTGTCCTTTGAAGTCGGACTCTATTACACACTTACATACACACAGCTTTTTCTGCATCATTAGTCATCATCAGTCAAGAACTCTTGTCTATGTGTTACAGTAAAATCTGATGTTTTTATTCTGTACAGTCTACGGAGACTATACAGAAAAGCGTAAAACAAAACATGGCCCTTTTTTTTTAGTAATTTAGTTACCAAAATTTTAATCCATTTCACCGTATCGCACAGGTTCCACCAAACACATTAAGGGGGTGGTAAGTGTTTCTGCTTGAAAGAGCTTCTAATCCTTATCCTACAGGCAATTTGTGCGTTTAAGATTCATTCTTTCATTATTTCTTAAAGGCCTTCATGGTGCGTAGGCGACCGTAATAAAAAAAAATCCCAGGGGAAACATTCCGTAGTTATGATGAGTCATATTTAAAGATCTTGAACTAGCACAAAATGTCAACTATAATGAACTTTAGTTGAAAATGTATCTGTGTTGCTCCAGAAAACTGTCAACTGTCAAAAAATCATGAGCAGGACAACTTGTAGAGACTCATGTTACTAAGGACAGTAATAACAACATATTGTATTGTTTAGCACAGGCATAGTGGTGTAATGGTTTAGAGACAAACACAAAGTTCATATTAGTTCATGTTTAGGTCTTTTTGCAGCTACTTTTGAATTTCCATTGATATGTCTGTAGCTTTGATAGTCAGTACTGATATAGTCAAGCAATGTAAAATAGCACAGAAACCTCTCTACCCATGAGTCCTTTGGGTTTTATTTGTTTATTAGTAACGGGAAAACAGAAAACCCAGCCCTAATTATCTGAAAACTTGCCCATCTAAATGTAGAATAAATATAGAGACGTGATTGCTATGTATGATTCAGGCCAAGTCCACTTTTTTGTTTTTAGCTCTGTTTTAATGTGGAAAAATACACAGTTTGTGTAGTAGAAGTTATATCTGGTCAGTGGACGTGCACAGTATCTCGATGCTGATAGAAAGAAAATGTGCCTTTTACCAGAAATGTGAGTCAGAATGTTCTGGATAAGGAAAGAGGGAAAAAAAAATAAAAAATCAGAGAAGCTATTAGTATAAATGTGTTTAACCGCAATTTTTTTTGTAATTTGCATAATGTTGAAAGTTTTGGTATTGGTAATTAGCTTGTTGCCGGAACGCAGGTCAGTACATTCAATGCAGGAGTTTGTTTGTTCGTGTTTGTATTTGTGTGTTTGTTTTTTATGTTTCACCCTTTCTCTCCCCGTCCCTCACACTGGCTCCCTCACGCTCTAATCATGCTAGCTGGCATGTCTCCTTTCCCTTGGGATGGCCCAGATCTGACAACAGCTAGGCCAACACCCGGCACGCAGGAAACCCATCCCACTGAGACAACTTAGCTGGCCGTGTACTGTGTGTGTGTGTGTGTGTGTCTTGCCATCCAGCACTCATTACAAACAGGCCATTTTTTAAAGAGTGAACACCGATTCACAAAGATCCCCAAAGATCCACACATGCATACAATAATGTGTGTCTGATATGTTTTTCCACAAAAAAAAAGCATAGTTTCCACATTAAGTCCTTAAAAGGCATCTATTTACTCCTTGTACCTCATTAAAGATGGAAGAATCTATGAATATGTGAATGTTGTTCATTTGAGTTTTCCTACTGGACACCAAGCTGTTTCCTACCCCACTGTAGAGTCAGTCCATTCTTCCAAACTATTTTTAATGTCACAAATCATGCTCGTATGCCCCGCCACTTAAAATTAGATTTTCAATCACAGAGAAATTTTCCACTTTCAGCAGATGAATGTGAAAACATCCTTTTAGTGCCAAACTGTGCACATACATCATTCTGCACAGTGAAGGTCAAACATCCAACTAGGACACAGGATCAGAAAGAAAGCTATAAGATATTTTTGACTGGAGGGGAACTTTAATATGAGAGTTTACACCATACGCCTGGGGTCCATGGCTTTAACCTAACTCCTTCCTGGCACTATTATGAAGCGGTGCCGATGAACACTGTTACTGACAACTACACTCGAGCCTTATTTTCTCATTAAACTCATGTATTTAGCCCCCACTCTGTCACCAGTATTGATTTTGTCCAATTTTGTAATATCCATCCCTGCTGAAGTGCCCACTTACGGTGCCACAAAATGTTGCTGTAATGGCTTTTCTATGAAATTTGTGCCAGGGTAGCTTGGCTGCGGGTTCACTCAAGGACAAAGAACAAGTCAATCGTTTTGGATAAGTGTTTCCTTTTATGTCAGATAGGTTTTGTTCCGAGAACAGTTTGAAGTGAAAGAGGAGGAGGCTTTGCTTTAAGACCAAAAAAATGTTGACTCGGTTAAAACTCCTCAACGACGTCTCTTCTTTCTCTCTTGCCTCCCACCTTCTTTTTCTCCATCTCCTCATTATTCTTCCTTTCTATATACCTACGCATCTGTCTGTCTCACTCTGATGCTTTTCTGTCTGAATCTCCTTTCCCACCTTTCTTCCTATCTGTTATGTGCCTCAGTGGTATTTCTATCTATTCAATTCTTTATTTTCACTCTTTGATTTCGATTCTGTGAAGAGGAAATTGCTTCTAGTAATGACCACAGCAGAGGAGAAGATGACAATGACCTCTGATTCAAATGTTATAAAACAGCCTGAAAAGTGGAAAAAAAAAGCACTGGATGAAGTGAATTTTGCCAGAAAGCTTTTTAATCTTTCATCACAGTTATTCTGTTTATACATTCTTGAAGGTTGAAAAAGCATGATCGCCTTTACCACTTCATACAATGTTAACTGTGTTTTGCTGCCACTATGGACACCTTTATTTACATAAACGTTACATTTATTGAAAGCCCTTAAAGTAATTTGTAAGTAAGTAAGACTCATTTGTCGGTGACTTCTTCAACAGGTTAAAAACTATGTGGAGGACAGAGAGGAACTCAACCTGATTCATTCCGCCAAAAAACTCCTGCTGTCTTTCCCTGGATGTGTGTGTCTCAGGGAGTCTCGCTGGCTATTGGACACTGCCAGTCCAGCCAGACCAGACAAGATTCCCTGCCTTAATCCCTCGTGTTGTCGTCCTTTTCATCTACCCAGGTTTGTAGCCCTTTTGGTCTGATATAGTTGTTTCCAGCCATGTTAAATAACTGCACCTATTATTTGCAAGATTGGCGGTGGACATTTTTCATGATTGTCTGATACTAAAATCTAATAAAAAATGTATATAAACTTATTCAATATACTGTTTGTATGTTAAAGCATGCGTACATTCCAAACACTACAAAACTTCTGGTGTTTGTAACAACCCAAAAGCCATTGCAGAGCTTTGATGTTGCATATTATAGAGGCTAAGCCTTAGGTAGATACTTATGCCAATTGTAAAGCCAGTTGTTTCTACTTATTAACATGATTGAAAGATCAACAGTCTGTTGACAGCAAAGGCAGAGAGATACTTTATGTAAACACTGAACCTGCCATTAATTGTTCAAATTAGGCAATGTTTTTTCTTCCTTGTCTCCACTTTTTATTTATAGGTTTTACCGTGTTTGTGACCAAAGGACGTCAGTGTGTTCCCTGCTTACTGGAGCACTGCTAGAGGCCACAGCCGCTCTTGGTGCCCGCTCCGCTCTACTTTACCCTTTGCCCCAGGGCCCCAACAGCCACGCTGTGCTGAAAGGTGGGTGTTGTACTGTAGTCTTTGTGCATATAGAAAAGGTTTGGTATATTTGTATGTTTCAGTGTGCTAAACGTTTAGATGATGTTATAAGCATTAAATTGGATGAAGCGGGGCCTGTATCTGTTGGATTCTGAGAAGAAAAAGGTTCTCACTATTCCCCTGTGGTCCACTGCTCCACTCTTCTTCTTCCTCTCTGCTCTTTTCCCACATGGTTCCTTATCCACAGCGGGTTTTGGGTCGGTAGGAGCACTTCTGTAGCTGATCCCAGCGGTTGCCCTTTCCCTTTTACGTTTCTCTGTATTTCCTCTGCTGTCCTTTCTCTTTCTCTTTCTTTATACAACTCCCTCCCTCTCCAGTCCATTCTCCAATTTATACACACATCCACATGCAATGCTGAAGTGGTGTAAGACATCACAGGGTCTACACACACACACACACACACACACACACACACACACACACACCAGGTTACGTCTTACCGTCTGAAAAGAGGTTATATGCACTTCAAACATGGTTGCGCTGCTCTTCTGAAAAGCTCAGGATTGATAGCTTGATATTTTGAATCTGTTTGGATGTTTTTTACATAACAGTACGCACATGTAAATGCGCCTGCTTTTCATTGTACTTAATATACACCACAGCTAGCTCTGGCCTTGAGAAAGGGCTTTTATGAAACAAGAAACATGAACAGATTTTCATCGTGCATATCGTACACTATGTCACCTCTCTCTCTCGCTTTCTCTTACTCTTACACATGACTTCATCATCCAAACAGTCGGGTTGTTGGTCAGTTGCTCAGCTGGTAACTGTCTGTCCACCTTTTCTACAATCATGTTACGTATGACTTAAATGTAAGCCGATCCTGACATTAATTTCCACTGGCAGTGGGCCAGGGGACAGGCTGTCTCTGGTGAGATCAGGGAGACGCACGCCCACACACAATTCAGCACACAAAAACACAACTTTTTGTGTACGTTTCTCTGCGACTTGCTTCATTGTTAATTGTGTGTTAATGAGAAAACTTAAATTTTTGTCAGACAAGCTTTCACAGACAAAAAAACATTCACGCACACGCACACACAC